GACTGCTTCTCCCTCTCCTTTTTTCCTGTTGGCAAAGTGTTATGAGAGAATCCACTGTTTTCACCCCACTGCTTGGTACATTTAAGGTGAATATGCTCACCTTGCATATTGTCCTAATCCATCCTTCCATTTCATCTAAAGAATGTGGAGGAGGATTAACAGAAATGTTTGCTTTTCTTCACCCTTACCATATTTCACCGTCCCAGGCTATGCCATGAAGAGAACTGCACAGAGGCAAGAACTTCTTCATCAGTGGCTGGGTTCAAAACTAAAACAATCTCAAAATGTATTTTTGAATGTGAAAAGAAAGGATGTCAGCATATTTACATTTGGCAGGGAAAGTCAAGTTAACATTTCCTTAAACCCCCTGTTGTCATCCTGTATTTCACCAGCCTCAGTGCTCCACAGCTGACAATGCAACACGTTCTCATCCGACAATGGGTTCCAGCATCACTGTTAGTCCTTTTGTGTGTTCTTATCATGAGAAACATGACAGCGAAAGAGTGTGGGTGAAATACTGGCCAGAATTTGACTTGAGTTGGTTGATATCGTTTAAATGTGGATGTGGAATGGACTTGCACTTACATAGCACCTTCCCAAGGTGCTTTCAACTTAAGGCAACTGGAGGATCAGTATTTTGCTCACAAATACTTTGACTCGTGGGCAGGAAGAGCCAACGATTAGATTGGTAGATGACATGCTCCACCATCTTCCCCAAATGAAAAGTTATTTACCAAATAGTTATGGGTCACACAGACCACTGCTGTTTTTGAAAAAGTGGTACTCTTAAGTAATTACATTATATTTCAGAATTGTGAGAAATGCTGCACTCCTCTGTATACATAATTAGATTTTTGTTTTCTATAAAATCTTTTCAACTTGTGGTCACTGCCTGCTGATATAAGGGCAGTTTAACCTTGTCTTACAGAGCACCAAAACTCTTGAATTTCAGGGACTAATTCTTGGGTTAATGCAGCCCTCTTCTGGCATGCCATTCTTATTACATATAGACAATGAGAACATAAATCAAATGCAACAATCATTAAATTATACATTATTATTGTAATATGCATTATGTATGCACAAACAACAAAGTCATTACTGTTTAAATAAACTATATATTTTTCCCAAACAGTAAATTGGTGAGTGGATTCCTCCCACGGTCTGCAATCCACAGTTGCTGAGGAACATACAACACATTTATGCATGTAGCTTATTTGTCTGTTTTTTAAAGCAGTTCCTTCAGATAAATGTAAGCATATTTATTTTCATTAGTGATAAAAGGATTTACAATCCTAAATTATTAATCGTTATTATTATTAGTAGTAGTAGTATTACCAGTTTCTCTCAATCCTAATCAAACTGTAAATGGCAACATTATAAAAGTTTCTTGTTTTAAAATGTCCTTAGAAACAGTTTGATATTTTCATCAACTATTCTCTCAAATCTCCTCTAAGATTAAGGCCATTTTCTTTAGAGAAATAGCCTAATTTCTTATATTGCACAAATGGTAAGGCAAGACAAATTCACATGTAACAATTTGCTAATTGCACTACTAAAAACATGTGTATCCCAGAAGCTTACCTGTTAAATCTAAGAAAAGACTGCTAGTGTTAGAAGCCTGCTTGTTTTGATGCTTTATAACATTTTTTCATATTGATACTCAATGACTAAAAAGTGAGAGTTCAATAAGGAAAGAGTTCATTAGAAGGAACTGAACAATTATGCTATTTGGCAATTAGACTCTGATGGCCCATCACAGAAGAATGAAATCCCAGGGGTGACCCCCCAGAGTTTAGATGGTGGTGGTGGTAAAGACAAGATGGAGGCTTGGGTGGAGTGTCTTGTGTGAGACAGTGATGGGAAGGAAGTGGCTTGCATGATGGAGACTGCAAGAGCGAATGAAAGATGAGCAGGGCGATTAAAGTACGCAGAGTGGAGGCTGACTGAATTGAAGAAGGCAGGCAGCAAGATGATTGGAATACAGTGATGATGTTGACATTTGCTTTACAGTGGGGGAAAGTGATGTGAAAGAAAAGACTAGCAGCCAAAAACCTGGGAAAACGGAATACAGATGTTCTTTACTGAACTTATTATTGAAAAGGGTGGGCAGTGACATGGACAGCCAAGCTTGTCAATTTCATTTGTCAAATTCATACCATAGGTGCATCTACTAAAAATCTTGGATAAGTAAGAATTTTGTTGACCTTAACAATAAGGTCAAAGGTCAAGTTTTCTGATAATCTTTTGAATGCAACATCTCAAGAAGTAAATGATATAGGATTTTGAAACTGATTCCAAAGGTGTATCTACTAAAAATCCCAAACTCAAGATCAGAAATGAACTTTTCTGAAAATCACCTATGGTTTTCAAATTTACACCATGGGTAGGGATGGGAATCGAGAACTGATTCTTATAGAGAACCATTACCTAGTCGTCCAATCCTTTGGAATATTTAGTCTGCTCACTGCTTATGCTTTCCATTTGCACTTGAGCTTTCATCTGCTGATTTCAGTTGCTGTGGCAGAGGAGGAAAGTAGTGGTGTAGAGCGTGAATATGAATATTACTTTTATTTTTTGGCAAAAAAGGAGGAGAGCACAATGATGAAAGGAAAACTGCATGCAGGAGAAAAACAGCTACATTATGCTACCAACACAAGTTTGGCTCTTTGCAAACATCTGCACAGACAGCATGCTAACGCTAAGCTAAGCCCCTGCCCAGCAGCCAGACCCTGAATTTCAACAAGTAACAAGCTGATGATCAGCCTTCATTTCTATTTTCTGTTTATGTTTCTACAGTAGAATCACTGTGATGATTGCTTTGAAGTCTCTTTCTGCTGGTCTTCATCTTTGGTTGGTGCTGTCAGCTTTGTGGTCATACCTAAATACTAAAAGAAAGATAATAAGCTTTTGACATTTTAAACATTTTTAAGCATTTTTGGCAAAATCTTCAAATTTTCAGCATTCACAATGCATTTTTGCTCGTTAGCAGTAGTGGTTTTAGATACAGGCGACACGGGCGGTTGCCCGGGGTGGCATCGTGGTGGGGGGCGGCATCACGGGCATCGGCAAAAAAAAAAAATTCTCTGGCTGCCTGGAGCAGCATCTAATAATAATCAACTCGCAAAATAAAACAAAGTAAAAACAAAGTAAAAACAAACCAACAAACACGAAAACACCAGACATTATAATACAGACTTATAATTTGCACCGATGTTTTTTCGTAATTCTGTACACGAAAAGTGAGCGCGAGAGCCCTCGGTGCGCCTGCTTGCTGCTGAAGTCAAAGTAAACTTTATTGTCATCTCCGCTACATACAGTCCAGTACATAGAGAGACGAGACGACGAGACGACGAGGCTCGAGTTACAGCAGTGCAAGTAAACAAACAATATATATAAGAAGAGTAGGAAAATAAATATACACTTTAGGACTTGGGGTAAAGGGATCAATAACAGTTTAAAATTTAAAATTTACAGTTTGATGATTTAAAGTCTCACACACAACCCGTCGAAAGGGGAGGGGGCCGGCTGCTTCCAAATAGAGCACATTTCATTTATAATGTTGTAAATCCAAGCCCATTATGTATTCATGATTTGAATCCTGGGTTGTGTGAAATCTCAGAAATGCACCTTAGACAAAGCGAATCTGTGAACTAAGGTGTAGGTCTATTAGGTTATGTTGTGGTGATCCTCGAGTTGGGTGATGGGTGTTCATACTGGAGTGCAAAATGAAAATCAATGGAAGATGGACAAGAAAAGTTCAAAGCCATCAGATGCTCAGTTTAGAAAAAAGAGAAAAGAAGAGGAGGAGAAACGAGCAAACGATACAGGTAAGCAGATGTGTCACTGGATAATGGCAGGTCATCCTGAAACAATCAGAATCAGAATACTTTATTAATCCCTAAGGAAATTATGTGGGTTACAGTTGCTCCAAAAAGAAATGGTAAAAATAGTAACAGTAACAGACTAAACTCCAAACAATACATTATGTTACAGATTTTAATATTAATTATTCATTGT